CCCATTTGGTATTGCTATGCGTGTTGAGGGGCGCAAAAGATGTATACGACGGAACGAATGGTTGGAATTATGTACATTTTCCAGCATTCACATTGAGGGAAGGAACGGAGCAAAGGAATATTGTCGAATTTGAATTTCGATTCGGGTTTTCTTTGCTAGCTTAATCAACTAGTGGACAATCATTAAGGGACACAAATAAAATCTGTTCCATTTAGGATTTGGTCGCACAAAATGGGTCGTTTCTTCAAGAGGAAATAGAATACAAACGCTACGGGTATCATTTTGTAGGTTTTTAATTTAGCTTTAAGGGAAAATACAAGAAAAACTAATCGTCAGCTTTTCGAATGAATTTTCGAACTTTTCGCTGAATACCTCCCATCATGTCTGGCACAGTAGTCAACATTATCTGCCATCTTCTTCCACCACTTCTCCAAATAGTATGATATTTTGATAGATTTGCCACATTTCTTCAATTTACGCTTAATAATTACCCAAAAATTTTCGATTAGACGAAAATCTGAACAATTCGGAGGGTTAATAATGTTTTCAATAAAATCGATATTATACTGCTTATACCATTCAATGACATCCCTGCTGTAATGGCATCTGTTGTTTTCCCGTTCTAAATCTCCCTAGCTTTGATTATTTAATGTGTTTGACATCACCCCGCGTTCGTGTAAGTTTTTCGTTGCCCAACCTCTTGTCGAGTTTGAATATAGGGAAGTACGTTCCACTACCATATTGGGGAGACATTTAGTGGCAGGCGACGGGACTGGCTAATGATAAGAAGTTCTCTCTCGTAGAGTTTTAGGGTATGCGTGAGCTCTACCATTACTCTGAGTGACTTTCTTGAGTGTGAATTCATGGGTATAATGGGGAATTCCCGTTTGGTCGTTTAGTTGAAAGCTGTCTTGAACGATTCTTTCTAAGAATTAATGGACTCGCCCTTAGGAGAGTCTCATCCGGGCAAAGTAACATTGGTATAGTCTCCCTTGTGGAGTGGCGCTTAAGCCACGCGTATTTAAGGTTTCGCCGTCCATGGATTGACCACTTCAGGTTTTCGACGTGGATGTGCAGGATCAATTTTCTTTTCTTGTCTTCCGAATCAACTATTTTAAAACTTCCACCACTGAAACACGTGTACTTTCAAATCAAATCTCTGTCAAAACATTTCAAATCCTACCACTAGAGCCGCTGCTATAGAATAAATAAATTGTCCGGATTCCAAGTGGACCAGACTGTATAAAATGGCCGGTATTTCTGATTGCAATATTGTTGTAATACCCATGATAATTTCAATTCCAAGATTGCAGATTATTTTCAAAATGGATTATTCAAGATGTCTGTAGATTTCTAAAATGGTGGGTCGTGGATAAAATGTTCGATCTTTTTGAAAGAAATGTGATTGCAATTGCAATGAATATTTAAATTAGAAGATGGTGGCTGAACTTCAAATAAATGCTGGATGAATTTCAAAATGAAGGATTCATGATAGTGGGTCTTTGATGAACATGTCAATGCCATGTTGTTCAGTGGTGCTATTTCAATGACATTTTAAATTCCAAAATACTGGATTAAAGATGGCCGGTCTTATACAAAATGGTCGATCTTTCTGACTGCAATATTGATGTAAACCATGGTCCACTTAGTAGCGGAACAAATTGTTTTGCTTATTACAGCACTTCTAGTGGATGTTTTTGGAAGCTTTTGACGTCTGTTTGTTGACAACAACAATAAAAAAATTTCTCAATTCATAAAACTTTCTTGTTTTGGAGACAGTCACCATGCAAGATGAACGTAGAAAAAACAACAAGGGACAACCCTATGGGGTTGTACGCAATGGTGACGTAGAACTACGTGGTCTTATATAATAAATCTTATTTGTTAACTGCAGAAGGAGATTATTTTTTGTGTAGGAATAGGAATTTGAGCGGGGTTCTCCCTGTTTATACTCTTTAGTATGACTCGCTTGACATAAATGGCCCACAGTGACTCGAGAAGAGCTACTGATTCCGATCAATAGCGGTGCGGCTTCTTCCTCCTTCTATGGCTGCTCATGTTGGCTGCGGCTCACAGGCAGCCTTTCGTTGTGTACTGGAGAACACCACCACTCACCACGCGGTGATTGAATAAACACCGTTTGGTGAGATCGAATGGAATTCACTTTGAAATCTGTGTTAGGGAAATCGCTTTTTGCAGGCAATCGGTGATAATTTTAACTATCGTGCAATTTTCAATAGTGAAATTTGGAAAAATGATAAAGTCTTAATTTTAACAGATTCGTTTATAAAGAATTAAAATCGATCATCTCTGGATCAAAATCAGACCCCATTTTGATTTTCAAATTGCATCCCCAATGTTGCCTTCAAGAACATGGTATGTTAGATTTAAACATATCTATATAGAGCTGGAATTAGGCGCAACAGCCTTTGTAAACAATGACTTCTCTCGATGATTTTTAGGAATGTAAGGCACGCCCACACAAACCAACATTACCGTCGGGTAGGGGAAGTCTTGCCCTACCTGATGGTGATGTTGATTTGCGTGGGCGAGCCTTGATTTTCAAGACATCCTCGAAAGATGTCATTGTTTACAAAAGCTGTTCCACCCTAATTCCAGCTCTATCTTGATATGGGAACTGACATCCGAAAGATGACCTTGACAAATGTCCAAAAACTACTCTTTTACAAATTTATGGTGGTCCTGAAAAGGACCGTTTTGTCGTGATGGTTGAGTAATGCTGAGCTATTAGACTGTTAAACACATATGAGGCTGGACGCGCTTGGCATAGATAGCCCACAGCAACTCACGAAGAGCTTCTGATTCCGATCAATAGCGGTGCGGCTTTTTCTCCTTCTTTGGATGCTCATGTGGGCTGCCGTTTGCTGATTGCAGGCAGCCTTTCGTTGTGTAAGTACTGGAGAACAATGTTGAACACCTTGCGCCGAAAGCACTGCTGCTGCTGCTGATGCCGACGACCGGACACCATCACCCACGGTGAGTGGACTGAATCCGATCAGCGGTTGAGGGTAGCCTTGATAGCTAGCGGGTAGCCTTTTGTTCTGTACTGAAGAACACCACCACTCACATCGCGGTGATTGAATAAACATAAAATCTGTGTTAGGGACAGTGTTGGAAAAGTTCACCAAAACTCACTATGACTCGCGAACTTTTCCCTTGGTAAACTTCGTGAAATATCGCGATCTTTTCCAACGCTGGTTAGGGAAATCGCTTTTTGCAGGCAATCGGTGATAATTTTAGTTATCATAGCAACAACATTCGTGCAATTTTCAATAATGACAATTTGAAAAACGATAAAGTCTTAAATTGAACAGATGCGTAGAAATATCTCTAATCGATTGGTGATAGAATTATTGAAATTGGTCCAGGAGCAGCTGAGTTATTAACGTTCAAAATCTTTCATAATTTTGTCACATGTTCCATTTTCGGTTTTCACAAAGTGTACCCCCATATAGAGATCACTGACGTAGTCCTACGTCAAAAACCGTGCAGTCACCCGAAAAATCCATCGTGGTCCGCGTCCAAGCTGGCTTAAGTGTTGAATTTTCCTAGGCGCGTGCTCAAAACGTACAGGGCAAGCTTGACGACGAATCGGAAGCCTCAAGGTAAACGCCGGAGTGGAACTGCCAACCTTCAGCTCCATAGAAAGGTCATGAGGTCCATCAGAAGCAACCCAGGTGTGTCCGATAGCGATTTGAGTTAACAGTTTGATGCCTCCCATAGTACAGTGCAGCAAATCAGCTCCCGCGAAAGCTAACAGACATACCGCATCAGTAGCCTACCAAATCGATCACTCAAGCAGAATACTGTAGCTAGAACCCGTGCTCGAAAGCTATAAGACAACCTGTTGATCAAGTTATGAGTGATGAAACCTATGTAAAGACTGACTTTGGACAGCTTCCATGACCAACATTTTACAAGGCAGGTGGTGAGGTGACCGAGGAGGTGACCCTGCAGATTCAAATGTGTTTTGCGGATAACATCGCACGCAAATATATGATCTGACAGGGAATTTGCAGCTGCGGGCAGAAGACAAGGGTTTTCATCACTGAGAAAATGATGAACTCGGAGGTTTACAAAACTAAATGTCTTCAGAAGCGAATTCTATTCCAGTCACATGATGGTCCAGTGACATTTTGGCAGGATCTTGATAGTTGTCAATACAGCCGGGAAGTACTACAATGGTACAATAGCAACGGAGTCCAGTTTGTTCCGAAAATTCTCGAAAACGCCCAATTGTCCCCAGTCATCAAAACGGTAGCTCAGATGAAAAATTTGTGGGATAAAATCGCCAAAACAGTAGACGAGACCGTTGTGCGTCGCTTGATGAGTGTATCAAGGAAAAAGTTCGAGAATTCCTATGAAACCGCGACGAATAATTGGTTTCATATTTTTTTTTTTCTTGAATAAGGAATAGTATGCACTGAAGTGAAAAAGGATTTAAATCTGTTAATTCACCGAAAATAGCCCAAAATAACCCAAACTTTAATTCTGAAATGGTGGCTGATCTTCAAATGTCAATACAATTGCAATGACAATTTGAATTTCAAGATGGGGATTTATTTAAAAATGGTAGTTTCAATATGGTGATGCTGGATTATGTGATGGTAGTCTATAAATAGTTAAATGTATCTAATTAAGAATAACCTCAAACAATTCTGGAACGATTCGTTAAACTTAAGGTTCAAGTTGATTTAAAAAATATGTCATTTAGAAATGGCAGCCGGATGGTTTCGAAAATTGTTAGATTTATCTAATTAGATTTAAAACTACTCAACTTCATAAAACTACCTCAATCAAATGGGCTGAAGTTCTCACCATGGTTCTTTGCATTTGTTTCTTAATGAGCTTTTATCATCGAGGCCACAATGTTCCATCAAAATCTTCGTGCTATTATTTTTTTTTTTTGGGAAAACTATGGATTCGATGCAATATATAATACAAATATCTACAGATCCTGAAAAAGTCATGGTACTCACCCATCACCGAGTTCGCCACCAGCATTAACACGATAATCCACTTGTACAGCCGCAGCTGCTTGTAGCACCGGAAGTTGTGATACCGGCTGAGCATGATGATCTTGGAGATCATTTTGATCATCTTGATCACGATCACCAGAATCTTCTTCATTCCGGTTTTATAGTTGCTTTTGTTGTTGCTGTTGTTGCCACGTTGTTGGTGACAGCGTAGTAACGACTATGACGACGATGACGACGACGACAATGAAACGACTTGATGACGACCAACGACGACGACGACAGTGACGATGATGATGAATGGCGAAGTTGTGAAAAAGAGAGAAAGAGAGAGAGACTTCTCTGAACTACGATTTCCGCTTTTTCTTTTTCTTCTTTCGAGTCAGTGTTGCCGGATTGCTCTAGTAGTAGTAGTTGTTGTTGTTGATGTTATTGTTGCTGTTGTTGTTGTTGTTGTTCTTTGTTGCCTACTGTTAGCTACTAGTAGTTGGTGATTGTTCCTCTAAATCCTTTTGTGATATTTCGTTTTTTTTCACCGGAGTGGTTGCTTGTTGGTTGTCTTTTTCTTTTCCGTCGATGCCGGTTGTTTTTGGGTTTTATCAAATTTGTTAGTTTTACGCTACTGATATTAGTACTTGTCCTTAAGTAGTGATGAATCGATTTTTTTGGTTGGTTTATATACTTTTAATAACAATATGCTATTAGTTGATGTTTATTTTTCATTGATAAGTTTCTCTGTTTATTATTGAGTTTTCCAAACATATTATTCGAACTTGTTTTTTTTGCTTTATTATTAAGATGGATTAAACTTCCTGTTCCTTTATGGTTATTTTTTTTATTAATATTAATTCAATTTGTTGAAAATTTGTTAAAGTACTATTGATATTATTATTATTGAATTGCAGCAAACTTGTCTTTGTTTATGAAACTTTATTTTTTTCAATCTTTACGAGTAATATACTATTCTTGTCTCTTGCGTTTACTATTTATCAATATCAATTACTTTTTAATCCAATTAAGGTTTACTATACAACTCTCAAACGGCTTCTGCGTTTAAGATTATCGGTAGAGAGTGAGAGTTTTTTAATCGCATGATGTCCAAATTGTGCTTCGATTCTGCTTTCGAGCCCAGCTTCGGTGTGAAGTTTTGGACAGTGACCGAACGTGGTAGAAGTTGATGCGAATTTTTCCAAGATCACCTTCTCCACAAGACTTTTGCTCTCTTCTTGCTCACTTTGGTGCTGATCTATCCCGAGACGTCACCGTATTCTAGTGCGAAACTTTCCGTGCGTGAGCGAACTCCTGCTTCTTATGCTTGATTCACGAAAACTGAACCAGTAGGATGTTAGTAATGGGCTATGAGCGTGTTTGTGTGTGTATGTCTCCTTAAGGCGTAGAGATCCGGGGACCAATTCCAAGTTGCCTAGACGGATCGAAGCGTGGCAGTACGATTTGTGTGCTTTGTAAGTTCGAGACAGACCCAAGACCTTGTGAGTCTGCGTTCTGTGCTAGTATCGAAAATCTACGGTAGTAGTGCCTTGTAGTCTGTACGTGTTTTTCCTATGCGGCATAAGTAACTTATCCGCCTTTAGGCAATTTCTGTGACTTCAGTGAAACGATTATTCCGAGCGTGACCCTTTCAGTTTCTCTCGAAGTAATGCACCGATTGATCTATTATGCCGTCCACCGGTGATGATTCCGTCGTGGTAGCTGTTGTTGTTCCGGTTCGCATAGCAATCGTTTCCGAATGGTCGAATTTTCATGATTCCAAACCAGACCCATTCCCTAGTAATCCAACCCGGCCCGGCAATAGTCGATGGAAGCGCGAACTCCAATCGATTCTACTGCTCTGCCACCGACCGTGATGACTGCTGAGTCTCCAGCAACAACTATTTCCGCTGGGTCCGATATTTCCGACGCTAATTATCACCCTAGGGTCGATGCTGCTGCTGCTATCAGTTTTGACGTCGGAGATGTTGCTGCTGCAGCAAGTTGTGGTGGTGGATCTGCAGCCACTGTCACCGGATGTGTTGCATCGAATGAAAACGCACATTGGAATACCGAATGTTGGCCGCAGGATTTTTTTTTTTGTCACTCTCGCTTTTTTTTTTATTTCGGGTGTCAACACGATGTTTGATGTGCGATATTTTTCACGTTTGCCTGGCTCAGCTTTTTTATATAGATGGTGGTATTATTGTTGCTTGTTGCTCGTTCTACTCTGCATGTTTCGCTAAATTGATCGTTGATGACGATTCACTGCATTCGATCTAAAATTGAAAATCAATGGAGTGAATTAGAGTGTGACATTGCAGTGGGGCTAATTGTTTGTTATAAAATATATATAGTCCTTCTTGAGCCAGCTACGAAAAGTGTCCTTTGACGCAATGAAGGTAAGTTTTTGGTTTTCTATTCGGGTTAATACATACATTTTTTTATATATTCAATAATTTTCTAAATTCATTTAGCTGTTAAAAAATTGATTGACAATCGGTTTTTGCGAAACAAATTGTGCCCTGGGGCTTGGTACGATGCTTCTATTCAATAGCTGCAAGACAAAGTGTTGAAAAACATAAAATAATATATCGAAAACAAACACTTCAATACAAAAGGTGCACGCCAATTCACTTTTCTTTCCGTTTGATAGGTCAAAGAGAATCCCAATGGTGTTTCAATAGCAAATAGACCCAACAAAAAAACCCGTAGGCCCAGTTGAGCCGTTAGAAGCAGTTTTGCATTTTCAACACTAAAGGAATATTTCGCGAACCCTTATCACAACTAACGGTACATATGGAAAGGTAAATAAATTTGGAAGTCATCTGTAATAATAACATTCGGTTTGGTGCTAAACTACGCTCGATTAAGACTAAGTGCGGGTTGTGCTTAATAGGCCGGGCATGGGGCAGTTAACCCTATATCCGAACAAAAAAATATCCCAGAATTAGGAATGAAAAAGCTATGAAACATCGTATCGGGTGTTTCACCTAGGATCAGAGCTGATAAATATAACGACAGTCATGTGACACTGAAAAAACAGGTTCTCTCACCATCAATTGTAATTGCCCAATGATCAAGCAAAGATCTTTGACATCAACATTTCTAACAGATTTTGATTAATCTAGGCAAGCAACAGTAGGTAATCGGTAGAGTAAATACATGTTTAATATTTCCGCGGTACAAGTAACAATGATATCAATAAATGAGCTAGTAATTGTGATGGCCACAGCTCTGTCAGATTTAAAAAAAAAAATGTTAAGGGTACGTAGGTATGAGATTTTTTTTTTTGCTGCTCCATTCAATAATAAATGAATACCTAACAAAATAAATAGTTTAGAAATTGAAAACTAAACTAAAAAAAAAAAACAATTTGTTTAAACATGGTGGTTATTGAGTAAATACCAAAAAGCGCATAGCCATTTTCACAAACATTCTTCAGAACACTATTCAAAGGTCTGACATAATAAAGTTAATGTTTTGCATGAGTCATGTCATAACTATGTAATTTATTTATTATTATTATAGTCCATCTCACTTGATAGTCTCAATGAAACACTTGAATCTAAATGTAGTCACTAATTAAAAATTCAAAATTAACCGACAGCAAACGATGACGAAACCTGGAGGCACTGATGTCAAAGTCAAATAGGTCAGAGGCTTCGTTGAATTGATGAATCATGGCGACAAAGGAACTGTTTGCAGCATAGTTGGTTGCATGTACTACTTCATGTAGCAAGGTTCTCGGACGGAGTGTTCGGACAGGAGCATATAGATTAATTTTGGCCAGTAGCTCAGGAACATCATATTCTACGAGCAAAACTTTAGCAACGAAGACGACCTGCGATATGTTTCGTCGCTTAGCAAGAGTATCCAAACCCAGTAAACGACAGCGGTCAGCATACGGTGGTAAAGTCAGCGGGTCACTCCATGGAAGATAGCGCAATGCGTATCTGACGAATTTGCGTTGAACAGCTTCAAATCGTCCACTCCATACTGCTTGGTAGGGATTCCAGACAACATACACGAATTCCAGTAGTAAGCGTACCAATGAACAGTAAAGGGCTTTAAAACACAGAGGATCACGAAATTCCTTAGATATCTTGAACATGAATCCAAGCTGACGATTAGCTTTGTCGATCGTGGTTGAGAAGTGGAGAGTCTATGTGAGCTTTTCATCCAACATGACACCGAGGTTTTTAACGTGATCGACACGTTGAACTGCAGTCCCAGCAACGTTATAATCGAACAAAATCGAATTAAAGATTTCAAGAAGGTTTTGTAGTTCTAAACAGTCGGCATAGCCTCGAACGACTAGATTACATCGTTCACAAATAAAGAGAAGAGCACAGTGGTCCCAAAGTGCTACCCTGTGGAACTCCTGATCTGTTCGAGAAACAGTACGATGAGTAGTTTCCGATGCATACAGTAACTTCACGTTGTACGAGGTACGATCTAACCCAGCTGCAGAAGGAAACAGAACATCCAATTTTTTCAAGCTTTGCTAGCAGAACGTCGTGCACAACTCTATCAAACGCAGCTTTAAGATCAGTGTAGATGGCATCCACTTGAAGTTTCTTGCATACATTTTCCATACAGAACGACGTAAATCTGACGAGATTAGTTTCCACGGAACGGCCAGGAAAGAAACCATGTTGACATGTACTTATGTAATGCTTGCAGGAAGCAAACAATCTCTCATTTATCAGCGACTCAAACAACTTAGATTCAACCCCAAGCGAGGTAATCCCACGGTAGTTTTCCACATTGCGTTTGCCTCCTTTCTTGAAAACAGGGAACATAGTAGAGCGTTTCCATAGGGCGGGAAATTTCCGTTGACGAAGTGACAGGTTGAAGAGCAAGGACAACGGAGCAGCTAAGATATACGAGCATTTTTTTAGGACAGCAGATGGAATAACACTCGGACCTGGTGAAAATGATGATTTGGTTTTACTCATCACAGAGATAACTGTTACGTATTTTGGGATCTTGGAAGTATAGAAGACAACCTCGAATACTTTTTAAAAACTTTTATTGTCTGGTTTAATAGTCGAACCGACTAAAATGAATAAAACGATTACCGACGAAAAGGCGATACTATTTTTTAATATTTACATTTGATAACTGAACGGCAGTGTTGCCAGAATGAATATAGTTCGATCGTAAATTATTTTACATACACAACATTTCTTCCCTCCTTTCGAACTGAAACATCTACGGTGAGTATTTGCGGGGAGGGCGGCGTTCTCTTGTCGAACGACGCACTATGAAGGGAGAAGAATTTGCATCTTGATGAACTGGGCTACCAGATGGCGTATGAAACTCTGGAGTAACTGGTTCG